TCATAAATGCATATGTTTTCATGGCCCTCTGAATGATAAGGCTTTAAACCATTTCACTATGTGAGTGTTCCCTGCTGAATATTAAACAGAGCTGCACTTACAAAATTATAATTTCTGTTCCATAAAAGTGGGCTCATTGGGACTTTCTACTTGATAGTTTGATTTTTGCTCATTATTTGTACATGAAGAAAGTTCTTTGCCTGTGAGCTGGAACATTTTCCTCCACTAAGCTGTTACCACATGATAGGCAAATGAAAACAGAGACTGAGCTTTTGAAATTACTTTAAATTCTCCAGTCCTAAATTTTTCCCAAAGTGACAAAAATGGCATTTTAAAGATGATATCACAAGCAGCATTGACATATTTTCTGTCATTTTTGATGGGGTCACTTTTATCTTTCAAAATTACGCATTTCTTTTTTAATTGCATTAGCTTCAGAATCCTTTCATCCTTGAGTAATATACCCCAAGGAAGCACTGTCCTTAATATGCCTGCTGTATACTACACGGAGTACGCTATACTTAAATTTCAGGTTTACACCAGCAGTTCCATGTCATAAATTATACAAAGGAAGCCAGTGTTGGAGGACTCATGCTGAATTATATTATAGCATTTCATATGTGTCTGATTCTAAAGCATTACTACTATATTGGTAGTGATTACCTTTAAAGCAAAGCAAAAGCAAAGCAGCTTCATTTATATACCGCTTCATATCGCGCAAGGGATGTCTAAGCGGTTTACAACTGTGAGCTGATTGCCCCCCAACAAACTGGGTACTCATTTTAGCGACCTCGGAAGGATGCAGGCCTGAGTCGAGCCTCAGCCCTGGCTGGTATTGAACTTGCAACCTTGTGGTCTATGAGTGAGTGGCTGCAGTACAGGCATTTAACCACTGCGCCACCAGCCCTACATGGCTTGGGTCCAACCTATTTAAGGGATCGCCTCCTTCCATACAATCTGCCCTGCACCATCAGGTCCTTTGGGAGGAATTTACTGCAACCTATAAAAACCAGATTAATGATAACTTCCCAGAGGACATTTTCTGCTGCCACTCCCAGATTATGGAATGCCTTGCCGGAAGAGATCCACCAAATAACCAGCTTAGCTTTAAAAAAGCTATCAAGATGGATCTCTTCTGGCAGGCCTTCCCCAAATGATCAATCCAACTGACTCTGTGCTCTCCCCATTTTATACACTTTATACACCCACTATTGTCTCAGAACAATCACTATTTTAATACTATGTTCTTATTTTAGTATTGTATTTAATTCTTTTAAAGGAGGGTTATTATTATTATCATCATCATCATCATCATTATCATTATCATTGTTTTATTGTAGGGTATGTTTTATTTAAATTTATTTTACTCTATATAAGCTGCCTTGATTGTTATGGCAGAAAGGTGGGATACAAGAATAAAGTTGTTGTTGTTGTTGTTGTTGTTGTTGTTGTTGTTGTTGTTGTTCTCATCCTCATCCTCATCCTCATCCTCTTCACACTTTCCACCCAGTTATATCCAAGGATGGCTTACAACAGTTAAAACAAGCATATTTAAAATTCACAACATAAAAAATTACCTTGTAAAAAGCAATTAAACACTCATAGAATTAAACAGTTATAAACATGACCCATTTAAACAATAGCAAAGAATAAAAGTCCAGCACATTGTACAAGGCCAGTTTTTCCTTTTAAAAAATCAATTCTGAAAGACCTGCTAGAATAAAAAGGGTTTTATTGATTAATGAAAGAGGAGGGTCCCAGCCTAGCTTATCTCGGGGGGGGGGGGGGAATTCCAGAGCTTTGGAGAGTCAGTGGAGCCAGACCTATCCTAGTTCAAAGGGCCCTTAACTTGGTCTAAAAAGACAAGCTGTTTGCCACAGAGTTTCTAGGAAATTCCATGGGGACAGCGAGCAGACCAGATGGCATGCATGCCCTGTAACTGCCACTATTGTTGCATCTGCTGAGAACACCCCCATTGCATGCTGTGATGTTGGATAGGGGCACATAGCCACATGGATGTATCCAGATGCCCTGTTTCTACCCTTATGGCTGCAACACGGGTATTCTCAGTAGAGATGACAGCAGAGGCATGTATGTGGCATGCAATATTAGCAGGTTCATAGAGCGGCTGTGACAGGCAGGCAGGCAGTCATATAAACAGCCACCCATCCATGCATCAGCTTGAGGATTGACCTGGGTCAAGATCTGGATCAGGATAACACAGGATTTTGCATTGTCTAGAAAGCCCTGGAACTATCATATTTTCTGACATATAACATGACTTTTTAACCCAGAAAAATCTTCTCCAAAGTCAGGTGTTGTCTTATACACTGGGTGGAGGAGGAGGAAGAAGGGGTGGCACTGCATGAGGTGGGA